GAGAAAGTGAGAATACAGCGTACAGGGAGGAGAAACACGCAAAGAACGGCGTTATTTTTTTGAGCGTGAGTGGATCACAATCACGGTTCCCGATTGTAAGGTTTAAACGCGTTTTTCCAAATTCTTGTCTGCTCGGGTAGTAACATAAAAAATTGCTTGGTAAATCTACTAGAACATTTCATTGATTAGAAGATTTATAAAGAATACGTAGTATATAATATGACATCTAATTGAATACAGTATATCTGTTAACTTAAAATAGTTTGTGGCAGTTTATGTTAAATGGTCAAAATACTAACTGATTACGCAATCAGACACAGAAGCTTATAAAATGCATGTACATTCATAAGTTGTTATGGCATGGCATGCATGGGAATGCGTGACTTTTTTCATATGTACACGGTTAAGATTGTCGCTGCATGCAAGGGCATGCACGATAATTTTAAAATAGTCAAAAAAACAGAGCACATGTAGTACGCATACTAGAACACAGGAGATTTTTTTCCCAGAGATAAGATTTGAAACATGCATACTTCATTTTATAAGACAAAGTTCTTTACCATTCGACCAACTACTTACATTAAAATTGCAATTGACAATGAAGGATGTAATAATCATCTGATAACTATGAGGGACTTATGAATACGAATACTAATAATTATAGGCGAATTTTGAAAAACTGAACAAGGCTTTTGTGTCAAAATAGTGTAGATATTTGAGAATGCGTTTATTTTAATGAGAAATAGATAAATACACGCCGAAGAAAAAAACAAAATCTTCCTAGGAAACAACATGCACTCTAGAAAATGGCAGAAATTAGTATTCTACAAGGGGTGAATAGCGGAGTCCTGGAATCCAGAATTTCGTATATTTTCCGATTTTCTCAAATTTCGTGAAATTTCTCAAAATTCCACAGTAGTCCCTCGAATTCCGTTGAGTTCCATAGGATTCCCAGTAAGCCTCTAAGAGGCTATAAAGAGTAGCCATCTATGTCACAACAGCTTTACATGTTGATATCTCATTTTTCCTTTTCTCTTCGTTCGTGATCATTGATATATGTGCATATTGATGACTAGCTAATTGTATTTGGTTAAGTTATTGTTCTTAGAATTGCCTTATATCCGTCTCAAGCGTTAGCGTAACAGTATTCAGTCATGTTCAAATGGTTCTTTTATTCAATTTTATTTACTTCGATAACTCGTGATAATCTCTAAGTTGATGAACGCTAAGGTTTCTAAGTCAATAGCCTTGAAGCTGATCATTCCTGTGAATATTTATTGAAATTAGTAATTTTTAGTTTGTGATATGGATGTAGCTGTGGATATACATGTGTGTGCGTGGATACAGACAAAAGCTACACCCACATCCTGTAAGAATTTAGATTTAAGACTTTTTTTAAATTTTTATATATGTATGAAACTGTATCCAAGTAGTAGTAGTATTACCGTCATTTCTCCTATTATCATCGAGACATTTTTAAAATCTTTTATTTTCAAGGGTTTATTGTCTTGTTTGGATTATTGACGAGGTATATTCTATTTAGTTGTATATTTACTATTCATACTATGAAATGCACACTACAAGAGATAACTTTGCCTTGTTCAGAAAGAAAACATAAGCTTCTAAATGAATGAATGAATGAGTTATGAAAAGTATTATTAGAAATGTTCTATGAATCGCTCGCGCATGGTAGCAAATTTTTCTACAATAGCAATATATCCAAGGACTTAAACCCTCCCTACTCAAATATCGATCTTGGTCCAAAAACATGCAAATTGCATGCAATTTTCGGTATTTGTTGCAGCTGTAATGGATAGACTATGATGAAATTTTCAGCACAATAACATAATACTTTTGGAAGATATTCACGAAACAAGGATCAAAAATAGCTCATTTAGCAACCAGCAGTTTTCTGTTACCTTTCACTCTCTATGAAACAGCATGCCCGGATGCATGGTATGACAGAGACATTTTTTGTAAATTCCTACTTTCTGTGAGAATAACAAGGATAAAAAATTGAATGTTTCGAAAAACCCTCAATAAATGGTGGCCTAATTATACGAACACTTTTTTATATAATATTAATAAAGCTTAACTCAAAAAAAGAACTCTGTCATGTCCTGCATCTTTATGTGATATGTCAAACGAAAAAAAGCCATTGATTACAATGAAGCTCCTTTACGAGTTCTGGGATGCACAATCTCAAAACCGTAAACTGAGAAAAAGCCTATTCTTCAAACAAAAAAATGACGGAAATTCCTGGAAGAAACAAGGTACCACATTAAAAGTCATAGCATTTATAGAAGACCGTACAGCGGACTATCTTCTCATGCATTCATCAACATCTTCTGGTTTTCGACAAAAGCAGGCTTTTTTTTTAGGGAGAAGCTTAGATCTTTAAGGTTCTATCGAATGACCTCGAATTCCAAAAAACTCCCCAAGGTTCCTTAGAATTTCCTAAGATTCTAAAGGCTGATCTTTTTACATTGATATGCAGGATTTAACAAAATTCTAGTCATCTCACGGGGTGCATATGAGTTATATATCTTGCATAAACACGCAAGGATAAGAGTCATACACGGCCTCGCATGTTTTACTTAAAAACTTAGATAATCGTATTTTCATGCATGAGATATAAACAGCTTGAAAATGTTTTATGCGTAAACGCAAGTTTCTGAAAGTTTTCTGCAATGACATGTGTTTTTTACGCTTACGCGTTTGACTAGGCAATACCAACAGGAATTCAAAGAAGAACTGTATGAACTAAGAAAACATCTATTCAAAAATAAATCAACACATTTTACTACTACTACTAATACTGATAGTTCGAAAAATAGTAGTAATTATGAGTAAAGTAGACTACATAGGAAACGAACAAAATATTAAGTGACTTATATACAAAAGAAATCAAGGATCGAACAAGCAGATAAATTAAATCAAACATGATTTTAATTAGAAAAAAAGATAATTTCAACATTGAACAAGAAAATTAATTTTGTCATTCAATAGGATCACAGTTGGAAAGAATTTATAGCCTATGAGAAATTCATCAAGCAAATATATCTTTGAGACAAATCATTTCTGCTTCAGGCACAAAGGATAACAATTTAAGAAATAATGAGTAAGAAAACTACTTAGAATATGTACGTCAGAGTCATTTGATCATTAAAAATACGTACATTCGCTTTTATTAACGAACTTTGTTCTTTAAAAATAAATGGCATCTTGGTATTCTTTTCATAGGAAAGCGAACTGAAAATGTGGTAAAATGATTATCAACTGATTCAAACCAATAAATGCTTAAATATAACTTTTACCCACACATCGATCACCCTCGTCTACATTTAAATTAATTCCCATAAATAATTGAATACGAAATCAACTTCAATCAAGTATTGTATGTTTAGTTAATTGTTCAAATTGTAAGACATCATATGTAGGGAAAACTATTGGGCAAGCTAGTAGAAAATTTCTTAAACAGTAGACTAATCTACAATAGAAAAACGAAAAGAAAGAAAAAACACTAAATATCTTAAAAAAAAGAGAATATTCAGGAAAATTGTAAATATAATAAAAAACAAAGACACTAAATTATGACTAAAGAAAAACTGGGAAATAAATCTATAGCATAAAATAAGTTGAAGATATTGGAAAATTTTATCTAAAATACAAAACATTGTCAATTATTTGTACGAGAGTTATTATTGATCATGAATAGACAACCAACATTATGTAAAACAGTTTTTTTTGGTGTAACTACTAGAAGGTTTATAGCCTAATTAAATCAAAAGTAAACATCAAATAGTGACCAATGAACGTTATGGGAAAGATATAGTTAGTGTTATGAGTACTCATGACACTGACTCAATCAATGTTAGAGGTATCTGATAGGTTTCTGGTTGAAAAACCTAATAAATGATTCATTTCTTTTTCATTCTTTGCCTCTTACACATTTGTTTTATTACTCATTATACATCTGTCCTAATAATGACATCAGAATAGTTGAAACATGAACAAACTATCTAAATTAATAGTTCTGTATCAATGTTTAAAGTAAATTATTCAGAGATTGCATCGTCTATCAGGATCCTAGCGAAACAGTCGATCAAAAAATAGAAAGTCCTCGTGTAGTTTCTCAAGATATTGTGATGTATGTTTATTAACTAAATGTTAAAATAATTTTGAAAATCTGCTGTAAACTTCATAAAATTACTTCCTTTTTTCATAAGGGAAGTGACAGAAATACTTTTACTTTGTTTGTACAGAACGTAAGAAAAAGAATGTTGACATTAACAAACATTTTATAATATTGTGCTGTTGTGTCGTAAGGCAGGGAAGAAGAAAAAGAAAAACATAGTGTTGTTTTGCTTACTTTCACAATCTATTGATGTCGTCATTATGACGTTGCAAAAAGAAAAAGAGAAATATAAAAGCACTCTCATTTCTTCACATCGACGAGGCTGCATTTAATGTGACAAACATTCATGTGTGCGAAAGAAGTTAGTCTAGAATGAGAATATTGCTACAAAACATCGGCTTGCTCCTTCACTAGAAAATGCCTGTCATTTAATGTATGAGTTTCTCTCTTCCATAATGAACGTCGCAATGTTACATGTTTACAGAGAGCATGTATAGTAGTTGCTATAATATATTAGACGCGTATGCATTATCCAGGTGTAAGAAGAATATTGCATGAGTATTAAAGAGTCATTTTTCATTCTTTTACTTTGGTTTCAAAACCGTAAGATAGTGTTCTAGTGTGGATCGTGCTTCTTGCGGTTTTGTTTTTCCTTAGAAAACAGAAAATACTAACTCAGGAAGGAAATGAGACTGATTTTGTCTCAGTTTTTAGATTTGATTTTGAAAAAATGTCATCATCGGTGCTTATCTTTGGTGCCAGTGGTTATATTGGCCTTGGTGTAGCCTTGGGCATGCGCCGTGCTGGCTATCGAGTCTATGGGATGATTCGCAATGCGAAACATAGTGCTATGCTGGTTCAAAATGAGATCGAACCTATTGTAGCCTCGTCATTCGACGATGTTCAACAATTTGCCAATGTTCTTGCCTCATGTTCGATTATCATTGATGCTGTCGGATTCAATCAAAAACTATCACCTATACTTTTGACAGCGGCTCTTCGCGCTGGACAAGATCGAACTCAAAATGGAAAACTAGCACACTATGCTCCACTTTTCATCTTTACTTCAGGCATAATGACTTGTAAGTTTACAATGCTTTTCAATAGATGTGCGAGTTTTCATTTGATACTCTCTAAAAAAAAAGAAGGGTACCTATGAAAACCCTTAAAGAGTTTCTGAACTCTCGAAAATACATTAAAGATTTCTGAGCTCAGCAAAACTTTACAAACAATATGCCAAGTGAATTGATGAGTTTAGAACTTTGGGAAAAGAACAAATAAAATGTACTGTTTATGCTTCATCCACATGAACCCTAATATAAAAAAGCAAATATTTGTTTTTTGTTTGTCATATGTAATTTACCATTGACATTTTATTAATATAAACGTCAACTCATGTGCAGCTTACCATTGGAAACGATAGTTTTCCACTGTACATTTTGTATCTGAGAAGATTAATCGTTTATTCGAAAAAACAAAAATATACTTATAAAATGTTTGGAGAATAGAAAACTAGTATAAGTTTTTGCGCATGATTATTTTCAAAACATTGAGAAAAAGACACTGTCTCGGTCAGTAGGAAATAGAAAAAGTCTTCGAAGAAAAAAAAAGAATCTAATAACCTTTCCTAAAGAGAAAGAATAGAAGCAAAGACAATTCGTCATTGAAAGAAAAGAGAAAGAATTAATGAAAACTTTTGTTTGCTTTCTATTATCGTTAATTGTTTTGCTTTCAGAGTCGTATTCGACGGATAGTTCTGATAGGTTTTTGAGTGGCGATCATGATCTTTTTATGGAAAATTTTGAAGATTGTTAAAACTTTCGAAACCTTTGAGGATGTCAAAAGAAAATTCTGAAACCAATTTTGAGTCTCCAATATAGGTTTTTGAGATTCAAAAAGGCTTCTGAAATATACTATTAGATTTCCTATAGCAAAAGAAAGATATTGCCAAAAATAGTACTTTCAGAGTATCAAAATCAGTAGTTTTGAATACCTAAGGGTTTGCAAGCCTGTGTAGGGTAAGAAGATATTTTCAGAAATGCTTCAAGTGACCGGAAACCTTGTCACAAACCTTTGAAGGTTTGCGAAGGATTTTGCAAACGGATTTGTTTTAGAGAGTAGGCAGTGACCATAGTGTTAACAAATAATAATTTGAAAAACTTGTGTTTGAGAGCAATAAAATCTGTGCTTTTTTTGTTGCAAAAAATTACAAAGTCTATAGAGTCTTTTTGAATATGGTTATTAATGCACAACTTGTCTCTTAATAACCATGATTATTCCTCACTTCAAGTATAGTATTGAATTGATTATATCATGTTTTACCTAGATGGTGACACATCTCAAACGGGTCGTCGTCCGGTCGATGAAACAATCAAGCCACGACCTCAATCGGTAAAAAATCGCTCGAGTACCTCGTCAGCCGATGTGACGAGCATGAAGGAACGAGAAGACTACGAAAATCAAGTCTTAGTAAGTTGTTGTGCCTCACTCAAAACTACAGTCATACGGCCTGGCTTCGTTTATGGTGGCCAAGGTGGTTTTGTAGCCGATCTATTCTATTCCGAGCCTCTAGTTATTCAAGGACGAAGAGATATGCGTTGGAGCTGGGTTCATCTTGATGATCTGGCTGAAGGCTATGTAGCCGTAGCACGAGCTCCACCTAGTGTTGTTAATGGACAGCGTAAGATTCCTATGAGAAAGAATAAAACAAGAGTGAATTTTGAGTTTGGTTTCTAGTTTACAATCTTGCTGCTCCGAACGACAATCCAACCTATGAAGAATTGCGAACAGCAATGGCTAAAGCTCAGGGTCGAAAAGAGAAAATAGAGTACAAGGAAGCTGATGCTAATGTACCATCACGATGGGATACGGATTCGTAAGTTTTTCTCAACTGAATAACTAAAGATTATTTATTTTTGTTGTCATAGAATTATCAATCCAGCCAAGGCTATGAATGAATTAGGCTGGCGACCAAGACATATAGGCTTTGTTGAGGAAATCGATACATATTACAAGGCTTGGGCCGCTTACAAAGCTGCTCAAGAGACATCCAAATAGTTTTAGTTTGCGGTTTTTTGTCTAATAATTTGACTTAAGAAATAAAGAAATTTGAATTATTCAAGATATTCAGTGACATATTTTGCACACATTTCTTGTTGTTGGTGATAAAAATCGAAGATATGTTTCAAAGTAAACAATTTTCTGATTGATTTGAACAGAAGATAAAAGTTGGATGTGTCAGTACACATCAATATTGACTGTGGGTATGCTCATGCAAACCATAAACGGTTACAGCTGCTTACAAATGTGTTTTTTACAAGTCTTTAAATCGTTTCAAAGTGAATAAACGTCTTATCAGTTTGTCTTCCAGAAGTGTGATCGAAATCGTTAGAACCGTCGTAATTTCATGTATAGTTTTCGAGAAAAAATACATTTAGACAACATTTTTCTGTTCTATTTCAATTATTAAAAATTAAGTTGTAGCTTACAAAATGATATTATTGTTACATTGTGAGTAATTGGTACTATTTGTACTTACCCCACAGTATCTAATTCGAAGTCGTTATTCCTATGTATATGTTGAAATAATTGGGAATAATAGATTTGTTTATTTTTTATTCAGTATAAACTGTGGCTATTTACTATTCATTTGTATTAGCTGACTGATAATTCAAATAGACATATGTTATTAATGAAAAGTAGACGATTTGTTATAACACTTATTGTTAGTGTATATGAATTTTGATCGAGAAACACATTGTGTATACTGATCATCGAAGTTAAAGTAAGGAGACATGTACCAACTTAAGTGATAGGAACTCCCTTAATGTACGTATTCATGTGAGATATGTGTTCGTGTTGTCATCCTGTGATCGCATCGACACCCGCATTTAATTTGGAAAAAATCAAACATCGCCGAATGAAGATTGCAGCTGCTGATATTGTTTTATTCCTTTTACCTTTTCTGGAACCGATGACAAGTAGGCAAGCATGTATGCAATTGTGTTATAAGCAGAGAAATGCGAATCATCAAAATCAAAATGCATCTATTTTGTGATTTATTGAAGTTATTATTCGAAAATAAATATTTTCTCCAGATAATTTAGACTGTGATTGAAATGAATACCTACATCGTCAAAGAAAAAAGAACCGTAATTGCTTTTCCGTATTTAAATTGAACACTTATCGAAGTAAAATACTTGTATGCAGTACTTTACTATTGGGACAAGTAGAGTTTCAAATTAAAAATTTCAATCCACAATTGAAATTATATAGGATGAGAAATGCAAGTATGGGTGCGGATTAGTGTGAGTGTCAGTGTGCTGTTCTGTCTTTCGTTGTTTGAATAGATAAGGAGAAGAATCGCAAGCGCACACATCAAAATCTTCATTGCCACCGACAGCGGTACGCACATCAATATCCGCACATTCATACGTATCCTTAAAAGTTTAGTTATACGTAACCTCATGTATACATTTAACGTTAATATTGACTAGGATTGTACAATAGTATATTTCATAGAAGCAGTTGAGTTTTCAGTCGAGGGTAAAGCGAATTGACACAACGAGCGTTACTGGTACTTATACTCAAGCACAAATACTTGCACTTCATACTTTTACTTAGAATGCGAAACAATACCTTTTTGCTTACTTGGAGTATCTCTCTGTTTCTTTCAAACTTTCAAAGGCTTGTATAGCACAAGCTGGGTAAATAAGTTTCAATCAATGTTGCATTTCTTCTGCTTTTCAAAGGTTTTCCAGACATCTTGTCTATTTCATTTTTAACCAACATTTGTTGCATTATACTGTATAATTTGTTTTAAAATGTGGGAGAAAATTCTTGTCATATTCTTATTCTATGATAAGCATAATTCTTGTTTTTCACTGATTACGAAAAATTGTCAATCTAAAGCTCTCGCAAAAAGCATAGGACCACTCAACAAAAGTTCTCTAATATCTTATGTTTAAGTTGGGTGTGAAAGTAAGCATATATTTGGCATTATTATCAAGCAAGTTTTCATATTTTATTGAGCAAACGGATAATTGTCATTTGATACTAGCAAAATAAAGTTAAACATAAAATACCCAACAGCTAAATGTTTTGAGACGAATTTCTTTCTATTTACCCATTAACTGTTCTTCCATGGGAAATAGTATTAATGGGAACAACTCAAAAAGCTACCTGCTGTGTATTTGTTTCCGTGCTGGGAATTATAGTAATTCGAAGTCTTTTGTAACGAGATTTTTCGCTGCAAAAATACTAGTGGTATAAAGGAATCCATTAAAAACCTACTGTGAAAGAGGAGAAATCATTTGTGTTGCTCGTTTTGAAGAGCAAACTAAACTCGGATGTAGGTTTGATTTGAGTGAAGACTGAAATCCAGATCCAGATTCACAGTTATGCGCGCACACACACACACCCGCAAGAACAAGAAGTCGAAGTTTTTAAGACCGTTCACTGTTAGCTGATGATGATGTAGTCAAGTGATATTTACTAATGTTGTGACAACTAACTCTCATGTTACTCGACCACTCATCGTGAAATATTCACAACGAGTGAAAGAGCACAAAGAAAATCAAGCATCACTGAAGAGACGTACTTAGATCTGAAGGAAGTAAGATCAGTTTTCGTTGTTCAAGAATATTCGGTATCGTTGTTGAGGAGATCTGATGTAAGCGTTTTATAAAATTTTCGACGAAATTTCTTTTCTAATTCAATGCAGACGAGATCTAGGCCTATTCTTCAATTCCTTAAAAAATAATCATGCTATGTTGACAGGTGCGATTTCTTATTCGTCATAGTGCTGATTTTAAGAAGATACGGCATTTCACAAAATATCGTGTGGATTTTTAAAGAATAAGTTGTTTGTTACTGTAGTCCCCGCCTCCCCCGCCTCTCTCTTTTTATTAAGATACTATGATGAAACTTCTAATATAAGACACGTATGAATAAAGTCCTCTTTTGAAACCGATATAACTTAAAATTAAGAAAATCTAATTCCCCCATCAATGATAACACTCTGTTCAGTCATATAATCAGAGTGTTTGCTGGTCAAGCATCATTAGCGTAACCAGGGGGAGGGCAAATGGACAATTGCCCATTTCATTTTAAGATTTGCCCATTGTAATTTCTAAAAGTAACACTTTGCCCATTGAAATTTTACTTTTTCAGAATTGTTTATTTCTTTGCTGCTGCAACAAGGGGGAAACAGCCGGTTTTTTTCAGTTTTAAATCAGAAAACATCCAAAAAAATTTAAAAGAATCTGATTTTAGCTGTTTTCGTCTTGTGCTGCATACATCTTCAGCGATCTCGATATAAATCCAGATGAAATATGGAAATTATATGCACAAATACATCATCGTCGTCTTGATTTAGGTGTTTGAATTTGAAATATAAATCTTATAAATAGAGACGTTAAAAATAGACTAGACACATGTGACTCAGGCTGAAGGTCTGTCCATCCTCAAAAATCAATTTCAGCCCAGGAACATTCTAATTCCATGACATTTTGAGAATATGTTGTGGTTGTAGTGGAGAAGCTATGGTAAAATTTTCAGCTCTATGCCATAACGTTTGACAGACATTTACCAAACAAGGTTCAAAAATAGCTGATTCAGCATCTCGAATTTCTCTACCGAGACTCTTCAAAGATATTTAATTTTTCTTTTTTTGGTTGAAAGAGCATGTCAGGATACCGAGCACCAAAGACTCATTTTTTTTAATTCTTATTTTTCGAAAGGAGAGAAGGAATTACAAATTTGATAAGTCTAAAAACTCTCTAAAAATAGAGCTCAATTTATTCAAGTGATCGTATATATATAAGAGAAAAAATTTAATTAAAAAGAAGGACTCTTTGGGTCCGCACGTTTTGACATGCTATTTCAAACAAAAATAATTAAATGCATACAGGGTGGTTCAAAAGCAACCGAGCAGTCTTTGATTGCAAATAACTTTTGATAAGAACAAGATAGAGAGCTGCGGTTTTCATCGTTTGAAAGAAAAGAAAAAACTGCATCGAATCCTGAATATCAGATTTTTATAATAAAATCTCTTATGGTTTCCTGGCAAGCTGTTTTAAAAAAATTCAGGCTTTTTAAAGAGGTCTAGAAGATGGATTTTTCAAAAAAATGTCGGAAAAATAGTCGAGTTTTCGCCAAGAATCTGCCAAGAAAGCTTAATAAAATGTTAAGAACTAATGATCTGCTAAATCGTTTTGGCATCGAACGTACACAGACTATTGAACTTTAGTTAACGATTCTGGTGCACTGATAAAAATTCTAAAACTTTTACATTACACAAAAATTGTCTGGAGACTTCGAGCGAATATTGTTATAAAAATCTGATATTCAAGATTCGATGCAGACTTTTTCCTCTTTTAAACGATGAAAACCACAGCTCTCTATCTTGTTCTTAACAAAAGTTATTCGCAATCAAAGACTGTTCGGTTACTTTTGGACCATCCTGTATAATTAGCTTGGGCGGAGAAATTTGGTTTGAGCGTTCGAGAAATCATGAACTGAGAAAAAACGAAACAGATTTTTCAATCTAATAAAAAACCAGCCTTTTTTTTAGCAGACGGTGACGCAAAACATCAACAATTTCTTGCTAAAACCGATGTACCAAATAAAAAGCTATATCTTTTTTGAAAGGGCAGACTTTGGGCTATGTTTTCACACAATTATCTCATTTTTCATATTTTTGACGAAAATTGACTTGTTTTGACGACCGGGGTGCGGAGGGGGGGAGAGGCTTAAGATCTGAGTGTTATGCATATTTGATTAAAAGAACCTCATTTCGTTTTTCTGTGTTTTTTTTACATTATCAGTACTTGATTGAGTCAACAAATTTTTCGCCCATCAATGAAAATCTTGCCCATTTTGCCCATCATTATTTTCGAGCACAAGAGAAGTTTGCCCATTGGTCTGAAGATCCTGGTTACGCCACTGTCAAGCATGACACTAAGCTTGCGACATCTTCCGGCTTACTTGCACGGCCAAGAGCTGTCACGTTGTTCAAGTAAAACTTGGTGACATCTCCCTTTTGCTTTCCTTCAATTTTTCCCAATTCTTCATCAATCATATTCCACATTGCAGTTTCGGCAAGTCCTGTTTTGATCAATAGATTCGTATCTGAAAACAATGGTATGAAAGATACCTGGACAGTAAGCATCAACTGTAATCTTGTGTTTAGCCCATTCCATGGCAGCGGCTTGCGTAAGATCACGCACACCCCATTTACTGGCACAATAATGGCTTAGCATTGGAGTTGATCTGTGTCCAGCAATACTGCAGACACCAATGATTTTGCCTCCTGTACCTTGCGCAATCATGACTTTAGCGGCCTCTTTGTGACAAAGAAACACACGCCGCACGTTGATTGGAAACATCTTGTCCCAATCTTCTGTAGTAATAGCAAGAATCGATTTCACTTGAGCAATGCCTCCATTAGCGACTACGGCCTGTATTATCAGTTAGAAAAAAGACGACAGAACCGAGAAAAAAAACGATACTTATGTCCAAGCTGCCAAGTTCTTTTCCAGCGCTCTACATCATTGTTTCGACTACTTTATTGATAGAAACATCAGCAGTGATGGCAACAGATTTTCGACCCATTTTTTCGATTTCTTGTTGAACCTTGTTGAGACTTGAAGAACTTGCTTTAATATCATTCACAGTAACATTGAGACCATCTCTAGCAAGACGAAGAGCAATGACACGCCCAATTTCTCGAGCAGCACCAGTGACGAGAGCATTGCGAGACATTTTGAACAGTAAAACCTGTTAAAGAGAGAAAAATCAGAAGAAATGTCTCATCGTTTTCTTGCAGAATAACAATGTGAGAATCTCCATATACTTATTAACGTGTTTTTTTATATCTGACAGCAGCATTTGTTGTAGCTAGTAGCCTATAGTTTAGAACGAGTTTGCTGTTACTTAAAAGCGAGTTTGTCACGTTACATGAAATTATCACCCTGGAAACTAGGTTTTTGAAGTCTATCCTCTATATGGATTACGTTCTCTAATATGCATTTCAAAAAGAAGAGCGGAGCAATCGGCAGGGACCGAAATCTGCTCGGATATGTAATTCAATTGACTCACTCGACTGTGAGTGAATTAAATAAACCAATACAATATTATCGACGGTGAAAAGATACTTTTTTTGACCTATAAGTTGTTATCTTTGATTGTGTTGTGCTTATCTCTTGGTTTGCTAGGTGAAAAATAGCAGAAGTGGAATTTTGTAATAAAAAATCTTTCTTTTTCTGACAATGTAAAAGACTGTTTGCCGCTTTAATAGCTTGTGGCAGTTCTGCCATATTCTGATTTCCCAAAGCTTTGGTTATTTCCGAAATTCCGTAATTATCGAAACCTCTCAAATTTCACAGCTTTTAAAAATGGTAGCTTTACACTGTTTTGCGATTTTTGAATTTATGTAAATTATAGAAGCTTCAATAATTTCTTCTTAACAAAGTGAATTAAGAAACGCTCTTTGTAATCTGATTTAGTAATTTTTTTATATTTTCGAGTTATTTGCGTGCAGATACTGCATGAATAAGGTCGATAAGATTCATTTAAAAAATGTCATATGAAACTGATTTCAAAATAATGAAATTAGTAAACGTGAAAGCAAAAAAATGATGATTTGTGACTTGAACAACTGAGAGATTATTAAAACCTATATTTCTTTCTCGGCTTTTTAGCAGAAAAAAAGCAATCAACACTTCAGTATCCTCTGCTAGTTATTGATATAAGCAGCGAGCTTTGAGATGAAATCCAAAGCTCGAGAAAAAAAGTCATGAAAATTTTCGAAATTTTTTAATGTGAATGACTTTCTTTACGGGAATTGCGAACGACAACATTTATTAATATCCTCTTACGTGATCTAAATCATACATAAAATAAAAAGTATTGATCGATCAGAATTTATAAGTTTACTAAATAATTTATGAAGTTTTGAAAGGTTCACAGTTGCAAGAGTATTTATCTTCATTATCGAAACAGAAGATTAAATTTTACTGTATATCTTAATAAGAAAATCCTTCATAAATAAATATTTATTTCTTGGCTAGTTTATCAGAAATGACTTCAATACGACATATATTCTGTCAGTACTATCTTTTCTATAGTTATATTATAATATCCAAGTTCAATGTGAATAACATATAATAAAAATTCAAATGAAAATGAAATATCCGACTGATTTCAGATATCAAAGAAGAATGACAGAAAGCATATGTTGTGGCTGAAGAAGATGATCAATGTTAAAACTTACTTGAGGGTGTGGGTGTGGGTGTGGGTGTCGGTGAGTCTTCTGGACTAGCACACCCACACCCACATCCCACACCCACAGCCAACACCCACACCCACATCCCACACCCACATCCCACACCCACACCCACATCCCACACCCACATCCCACACCCACATCCCACACCCACACCCACAGCCAACACCCACATCCCACACCCACATCCCACACCCACACCCACATCCCACACCCACATCCCACACCCACACCCACACCCACACCCACACCCACACCCACACCCACACCCACACCAACCCACACCCACACCCACACCCTTCAATCGTCACCGTTGATAATGCACAACCAATTCTTTTCGTTGCACACATGCAAAATGTCTCATCATTAGTCTGCTGCATCGATGATTCTACCACATATGAATACTGTGGCATACAGACAGCAGCAAAAGCAATATCATCGTTCATTCTGCTAGATACCAACAATATTGTAGAGAAGACTGTTTTTTTTGAAAGTTATAAACACGGAAGTTATTTTTGTCGTTTTCCTACTTTGATGCATAGCTCATAAAAAATGATACATAACATTGTCTATTAATATACAGCAAAAACAATCAATTCTCTGGAATAGTAGCCAATTTCATCATTCATTCATCTGATAAAACCACATAATCAGTGAAAAGGACTGTTATGCTCATTAGTCGAACACTGATCTATACGAGTAACCAAAACGCTCATCATTTTGTTACGAATAGTAATCTCAATAATAAGGAATAGGCAACATTTTTTTATTCAAGCCACTTCAACCATCAACGTGTTCGGAGTTACGACGATTCCTCAACGAGAAATTTATGAAAATATGCTCCTACTTCACATCGAAGGTGTTATTGGCTGCACTGTCATTGACGCCACAAGGGTCGCAGCGCGAGTAAGCCATGCTTTTCAAAATCTCATCATGGCCACGGTGCATTATTGTTTTTGACTCTTCGCGAGCCGGTGTGGCAGCGGCACATCTGCAACCGCGATAAACATCCTTGGTCCCTATAAAAGAAATTAATCCACTGTTTCTGTAAACAACTTTTCCTTTTTCGCATTTCAATTTACATTACTATTTTATTAGAGCACTTACTAAGTCAATATCATATATTCCATCTTTTTTTTCTAAAAGCATACAGCGTGTAAACTTTTTTAATGATGCGACAGCCATATTTATTTTTAAACTATATGGGGCTCTGGTAGCAGTTATTTTGAAACCTTCATGACGCGGCAGCAGCCTTTCCAAAACCTGACCGGCGCGGCAACAGCCTTTTAGAAACTTCTGCAAAACGGCACCGACATATTCTCGACCCTAATGAAAATCTCTGCATCACACCATAGTGGCAGTGTTATCAACTCATATTCATCTATCTATAATGCTTACCTAATGTTTACACTAAAACACATACCTCAGTTCATTCGCCATCGCTTTTTCATGAAACTGAAACAAAATCCTCAATATCAACTAAAGAGATTGCAAATCGAATGTTGCTTACAATCCAATTATTGACCTACTATTTGAGTATAACCGATTAGAAATCTATCAATCCGATTGTTTGGTTAATCGATTTCAATCTGATTATATGAGAAAACAAGAATAATTTAGAAAATAATTGGATTTTCACATGTATAATCAAAAATAATCAGGATTTTGTCATCAATATTTTTCACTGGGTAGAGAGTGGTCCTGTGAAAAGTGAAGGTGTATGAAAATCTTCAACAGGAACCATATGTGCGATAACTGCAAGACATCGCATTGACATCCTACCCAAATACCAAAAGAAAAAGGTTAAATACAAAACCAAAACTCGCATTTATTTCAACTGTCATCGCTATCTTAGTTGTCTGAATCATCAAGCTACACGTCACTATTGACATTATCATCATCATCACTCGAGGTTTCATTATCATCGGAGACTTGATTATCATCATCGGAGGTTTCATCATCATCATCGGCATCATCCAGTTTTGGCTCAATCACATCCTGAACATATTTATCGGCGTCTTTGAACGTATCTTCATGCTGTTTGATATGTTTGAAATATCTTGTTGCTAAGAATTCATCTACAGCTGCCAAATATTCCAACGCAAGATTGTGAATATCAGCGAATCGAAAATTCATATTGTTATCACGTATGTAATTTTTAAGGCCAGAACATGCCAATTCGATTGGACTCAACACGCTGTGTCTAACTGGCAAACGTAATATTTCAATGCCAAATTCTTTTGCAGCCTCGTCCACCTTCAAAAAAAAACAAGGATGTCAGACATATTGGTATTATTTTTATGTATTCATCTTAAATCGTCGAGGAGGCGCAAATTTAACAACTATTTCCAGTAGTTCTGATTTCGTTAACGACGGTTCGTATTCAATAGCGTTTCGATCTAACCAATCTTGAATCATTTCTTTTCGGGAGGATCGATTGGGAAGTTTAGAGTCCTCTGTTTGTTGACTATGTCATCGAGCATTATCTATTATAAGACATATACGTTGAGTTGTACCTGAGACACAATGAATCAGAGAATGATTAATCCTGATTAGCAATACTCTGTTGAATACCGTATTGTTTTCTTAATTTGAAGCAAGTTTCTCTAATCCAATTGATAAAGCGAGACCCATCCATAGTGTGTTCAGCATCACATATGAATATGTCGAGTGAATCGAGATGAAACCCCATTTCATTGATAATGCCGCTTATAGCTAGTCTTTTACCTGGAAAAGATTGATTCCATAGTACGATAAGCTTAAGTCATTTTTATTTCTTTATCTTATCCTTCGTATCCGACTTTTTCAAGCGCCCACTACCATCATCAGCTGTCCAAATATTCCTTCTCTCCTCACCGACATTCGCCCAAGTTTCATCTTGGTAAAATATTAGCGCATTATTGGAGCAAAGTTGATCTAATGTCCGGAAATATTTCGCACGTGCAGCAATACAGCTGATATCGTCTAAAGGAATCTTCACTTTGGATTCTTTCTTGTAGACAAATCCAAGCTAAAATAAAACAGTGGATATTTTCACCTAGTGCTGATTAGTTTGATTCATGTGTACCCTTTTCATGTGTCGCCATAATGTTGTTTTTGATGTAATCGGAAAATCAGGATAATCTGATTTCAAGGATGATAATAATTTGATAGTCGTAGGATATTCCTTTTTCGACAGTATCTTATGAAACTGAAGCCGGATTATATCTTCCGCATAGTCGCTCAATGAAATGCTTTTTCTTCTACTGTGGCCTTTTTTTCTTGGAGAAAGTCCTTTTAGAATATTAGTCTGTGCTGCTGTTGAAGAGGATGACCAATCCTGTTTGCGATGAGGTAATGTTACAGATGAGGTTGTTATTGACCTTGTTTGAACTTTTCGAGATTCTTCTTCATCTTGTTGACGCTGTAATTCATCCATTTCGCTTTTCAAATTCGTTATGGATTGTTTTGATATTCCTAACATAGAATGGAGTCGTTCAATCACACTGTACAATGGAATTGTCGACCCGTTTTTTTCTTTTTCCACAAACGTGATCACGCTAAACATCGTTTGTTTTATATCTTTCGCTAATTCTTGTCCTTTCAGCATCTTTTAGTCGTTAGGAACTTGAACGTGAACACTATCGTTGAATAGAAGCAATACGTCTTATCACGATTAGTACGTGAGAAACTTAGCAAACCTTTTCTGTTTCTTTTATGTGTAATACGCATGAGAAAGACAGATATAATTTTCCTTTGTAAAATAGTGAAGAGAGAAAAAAGAACGTGACTTATCTTTTACGCTTCTATGATGAATTGTTACTCCCAGGCGCTGAATTGCGCGAGCAAACACACGTTGATAAATATGCATATAGGTTGAGTGTGAAAAGAGCCACGTGAAACAATTTTTACTTTGGTCCATTAACTGGTCATACTGTCGTATCTTTCAACCCTGGAAAATTCAGCTTTAGTCCGATGCGCGTTTGTGTGTATAGGATCCTTACATGCAGTGATTATTGCTGCGTAAGCTATCGTAGCTGACAACATTTGCTGTCACCCAGATTTTGATGCTTAAAAATGGGAGAAAAAAGGAGAAGTACAATTCAGTAATAATAGGATATCTCATGAACGGCAAGGACTATCGAAGTTGGGTTTGAACAGATCGATAGAGAGTGATCCAGGCTATCTATTGCTCATGTGAGAATTAAAAATTGATCAGAGTGTCGATATTGTGTGGTTCAATCTTTGAGATATTCACAAAATGCACTATCGTCAAAGTATGATTGGTTTTTGTTTCTCTTATATAATTGTGTCCCATGAAGTCCTCTATCGATTGGTGAAACTCGCAGGTCTTTAGCTTATTCCTGGCTTGAGTTATTCGAAAAACAGCGACGGACATTCTATTTTGTGAACGGATAATAGTCAAGAAGTACACATATAACCGTTTTTTTTTATCGTTTTCTTTTGTTTTCACTAGAATTTTTATTCAGACATGGAACCCAAGTAGATTTTTTCTGTCTCTCGTTCATTCCCTCTCAATTATGAAATTTCTTTGTCCGTAAGAGAATACCATCCTCATCCTTACATGGCACCACCAATGTATCATATGACGCCCTTCTCTTATGCGATGTCATCCTTGAGTGATATAACCTTGTTGTTACACACTGACGTCCTTCCATGCTATGCGCTTTATACGGTGTTCTGTGCACGAATGCATCTCTATACGTGTATCGTGTATGAACAGAAAATGGAGCAGTTAGTAAGATGAAAAAAAAGTAGTAACTTGTGTGTATGTAGCTGTAGATAAAGCTAACTTATTGTTGAAATAAACATCAATTTAACAAGTAATGGAATTACCAAAGATAACATGTAATATCTCAAATCATCCATTTATTTCTGTTTTCCAGCAACAATACCCTGTAAATATTAATATGAATAGGAATGGATGGAGACGTCTGTGGACAAATGATATGAAAGTGGATGCTTCTTTGATAATTTATAATCATACTTTCTGTTTTGATTTAAATATTTTCGAACTCACTCTCATTCTTTTGCCTTTAATCCACGTGTTTCTACGTTGCACACATTCAAGCGTAACTTCAATTCATATTGTCTATTCGTTATAGACACCATTATTAGTTTTAAAAAAAATACGCTTTAAAACCTATGCAAAGACTAACAATGTTGACTTTCAATGGTTTTTTTTTGTTTGTTGTAAAAAATCATCATGAGATAAAACTGAAAGATATTTATTTTCAATTATAAAAACATGTTTTATATGTAGATATGAATATAAAAAATATTACAATTTTTACTGCATGATCATGATGCTTTTCACAACATGTGTGGAAAATGTTAAAAATCAATTTTATACAATTGTTATCAATGATATTTTTTTTTGTATAAATAGAAATCATGATTTTGATCAATAAGAATTACCTTGTCGTCCTTGTAAGCGTATTTTTATCATGTGCTCTTTCTAATTTAATATGCTTTCGATAGGACGGATATAAAAGAAAGTATCATACAGGTGACTCAACGTGGTCGCTTGGAAAATACCAAGTAAGTTAAATATAAGATACAAATGATTTCGTATTATCGACAAAAAATATCATATCTAATCAATGGTAGTGCAATCGGCAACAACAATCGAGGATGATGTATATATCGTTCCTGTTTTCGTTGAAACAATAAGGCAACAATTCAGGAGTACCTACAATAACCGCATAACTAGAAAAGTTGATCAAAGATTGATCCCTTTTTTTGTTCTGCTGAGAATTCTTCAGTATATAAATCGAACAAACATTAGTATGTATTATGAATCAAATTATTCATTGTTGATAATGTTCTATTAGGTCATGCCAATCTTATGGGAATTCAAAATGATCTACATATGTCAGATTCTGAGATGAAATGGGTCGTTTCAATCTTCTTTCTGACCTACGTACTAAAATTATACGAATAAATTTCAATACGTATTAATGTGTCTTTGATTTTAGTTAATTTTTGAAATTCCAAACATCGCATTTATGGGCTGGATCGGATTGACTTATTATTTATCACTCTCATTGATTGCTTGGGGTAGTATTTCAACTGGCCTGGCTTTCGTCAAGAATGCTCGATCATTAATGGCTGTTCGTGCTTTGCTCGTAAGTTGGTGCCTATAATTCTAGAACATCTTTAATTCGACATTTAAGGGCATAACTGTCTCTGGTTACTTTCCTGTAATCATCAGCTATTTCTCATTGTGGTACTGTAAAAAACAACAAACGATGAGAATAGCGATATTATTTGCAGCTTCGATGGCTGCCGATGCTTTGAGTGGTGTTTTAGTACGTACTGTTTGATCTATTTTTTCGAGATATCTTCCCATTCCATTTTGAAGTGATAGTTTCAATGATGATTGTTAATCTAGGCATATGGTTTTACCTTTATGGATGGTATCTGCAATTTAAACAACTGGCAATGGATGTTTTTGCTGGAGAGTGTACTGATAATACCACTTGGAATTATCACCCCATTTTTTCTCTACAAAATACCTAATGCTGTTCAATGTAAGAATTCATAAACAAATAGTAGATATTCTGAATTATTTTTAAAAAATGTAGGGCTCACTAACTCTGAAAAAATGGCACTAACAAATCGTCTTCGAAGTGATGCAGGCAAAGTCAATGATGATTTCACACAAAATACCGAGCTTAGGTGGCGGCAAGTATACTATGTTTTTATCGATTATCGAATCTATTTCTATGCTCTGATTTATACCTGCATTTCTGCTGTTAATAAATATCTTACATCGTTTCTTCCATTACTATTAGTCGATGGTATGGGTTCTTATCAACCAAAAGTACATTTAATGATAGTACCACTGTACGTTATCGCATGTATTTTCTGTTTACTGATTGCTTATTCATCATCACGTTGGAATAATCATGGTTATCATCTAGTACTGTGTCTAGTAGTGGCATTGCTTGGAATCATTCTAATGATTGCTCTGATCGATGGTGGAACAGTAGCCATCTATACCAGTATTTGTATCGCTTGTACTGGAGTATTGTCAGCATTTTCTCTTGTTGTCTCTTGGTTAACAAATAATATCGACGGCCAAACCAAGAGACCAATGGCTGTTGGCTTTATTATGGGAATCGGTCAGATTGGTGGTATAATATTACCTTTGGTGAGATTTCTACTTGTAAAAATTTGTACAATCATCACATGTTTATCACAAATTGTGTTTGACTTTAGTACATTCTGATCTGTGATATTTTTGTTTTTAGATTTATCATGATAATCTGTCAAACAATCGTCGCGCATGTTGTATTTGTATTGGAATAATAACTGTTAGCTTAATTGCTACTCTTGTTCTTCGCTATTGCCTGATGTTAGAAAATCGACGACGAGACCGTTTAACATCAGAACAATTTAAACGTGAAGAAGCTATCAAAGAACCTTGTGATTGGGTCAGTTTCTATGTTGATTTTCTTATCTTAACACATTGTCCTCTATTCATTTTTTTTTAGCATCCAAGTCGACGATATGTTTTGTAAAATTTAAACATTATCATTTTATCAAAATTACCACAGAAATTACCTATTTTCTTAAGTGTTTAATCTGTAACTCACTTTGTAGTTTGTCAAGTGATCAAGATAATAAATTTTACAACTGTTTCAGTGTAGGATAGACATACAACACACAATATTAAAAAAATGGGGGAAAAAGGAAGAATAAAAGAAGAGAAAGAGGATAAGAATGACTAATAGGCAAATAAAAACATCTTAAATGTTAGCAGCATCATAGTATCATCTGTTGACGCTAGCAATGATTTCAACATTTCATTATCAAAGTAGTCATAACAGACTCAGAATTTGATGAAAAATCGATTTTGTTTATAGACAAAGCCAGCATGGTAAAACCGATTGAACGTAACAAGATATGTCGTTTTTGTTGATGAAAAATAAAACATTTTCTTCCCATTGAAAAAAAAACTATCCATCATGTAAATTGATAGTATAATATTTGTCAAAAAAAATATGCGCAACAATTTAGTTTGCATCTTCAAACTTGGTTTTTTCCAAGTATAAACAAAAAATAAACATACTATTGGATGAAAAAAAACATGTGCTGTGATCGTTCGATGATTAATTACGCAGCTTCTTTCTAGTTATATTTATAATATCTATGGTAAAGGTAAATGTGTTTACAAAGCATTTTTATTTGTCTTATGATAGTTGTGTGACGTATTTGCACGTTATATGATACACTGATTATTGTTTGATTTACATTCAAATCTGATCAAGCTTCGTATGTCCATCAAACGGTGAATATACTTAGGACATACTAAAAGTTCTGGCCACAGTATTTCTCCTATTTCTCCTCTCACACTATAATCATAACTTTCGGTCATATCTAAGTATATTCTAATAACGCTTGAAATTCTTTATCTTACTCTATATGTATTCACTGTTTTGTATTTATTTATCGAAAAAAAAGAACTTGAATACAATGACAACACTCTCAATGGGCAAGTATGAAAATTTGTTGCTTTTTATGTTTTTTCAAATCATCGGTAATATGAAAATAAATTTCTATAGGTCTGACAAAAAAGTTCTGAGATACTTCAGAATGATTGCACAAAACTTTTATAGTTCATTGCGAATAAAACTTTATACATATTTGGTAAGTGTTATTGTTCAAGTTTTTTTATATTAGGTTATACGAATACAAAAGTTTTAGTTTTAATATAAATAAAATAAAAGTATAAAAATCTTCTATGAGCAAAAAGTTCCAGAACATGTATAATAAATATTAAAAATAACTGTAAAATAACATTAAAAAAATATAATTTAACAGTCTATCAATTTTCCATGAGTTGCAATATATTTTGGAATTGTCTTTGATATCGAAAAGACTAGTTTATTACATAATTCTAGTTTTATTGATAGCTATGCAATTGATAAAGTTTCAATTAATTCTTTTTATATAAGATAATGATGTGGATTTTAATTTATTATGAAAAATAGACCATAGATGTTCAATGTCGTTAAATCTGAACTTATAACTGACCATTTTAATTATTCAAAATCTAATCATGAATTTTTTTCTGAATCTATCATGATCCATAATATATAGTATTGTCAAAACAGTCGATTCCTTTGGATGTAATTGAATCTCAAAGAATTAATATGATCACCACCACTGACGGCAGTTATCTCCATACAATCTCCTTTTCATCATTCATTTTTACGCTTTATAACGTAAAACATAGTTTCATCACTAAATATAACAGATTTCCAATCATTAATGGTCCAATTTGAATGTTTCAAACATCAGTTTGACTTTTTTTTAATGTTATTCGATAAAAAATGATTTTTAAACTTTTGTTTTATATTCATACACATTTTTATCAAGATAATTAATTATTGACTCTGTAGAGACTGAATTTTTTTTTAATGAATTATTCAATCTAATAGTTGTTTCACATGAAGAGTACTGATCATCGTTTTCGAATAATCCTTTTAACATACGAAAATTTTGATTATTAAGTTTTTTTGATCTATCACTACTTCGTCGATTATGAAAATCATCTATTACCCTCAAGCATTTGAAAACACATTGAATAGATGATTTGGAAATTCTAACAATTCTGCTAGTTTCACGACAAATCAAACTAGCAGTATTCAATGCAATATATTGAACTCTTTGATAGTGACGTAGAATTTTTTGCATCATTTTATTATATTTAATTAAAATTTGGTTGACGTGATTGAGATCAGATTTTACTGAGTATTCATCACAAATGGTGCAATACTTAAAGCATATATTTTTGATTGGCTCAATAGCAAAAGACGTAGATTTTTCATGATAAAAAAGTTACTCGTATTCAGTCGAAGTTTTCCCAGAACTTTTTGCTCTTAGGAGATTTTTATTTTTATTTTTATTTTATTAGGCTACAATTTATTTGCTAAGTAGAATTATTGAAAGTGCTAAGTTCATCATTGCTAAGTAAAATTTTTTTTGCTAACGTAAGTAATTTCTAATATAGACTAAGCATGAATACTGAACATAGAATTATTTTTTTTATGATACTATAACGTATGCATTTTCTCTTTTTGTTTTCTTTTGTCAGTATTAAAGTATCACCATCATAGATGTGTATTTCGTTTTGATGTCATCCTTAAATGCATATATTTTTTCATCGAGAATGATCCAATACAATAATTTCTATTTCTTTCATGCTTGATCTGTATTGGTTTTCAAGTTTTTTTTTTCGTGCTTATCATTTTCTAGTAAGTTCTCATCTCCACCTATCTTATTTTACAGTCATTCAAAGTTTACTTCAAATTTAGGGTGCCGATGTGAATGTAGAGACAATATGATTTATGAAAAGAAGACTTTCACTAACATACAAAACTCATATCGATACACACACTAAAATCGACAAAGCTCTTTGTTAAAATTAAAGTTGCTGAAAATCTATTTTGATTGATTCATGCGAATAAGGGTGTTGGTAGGTGTAGGTTTATGATGTTGGTGCTTGTGAATGTTAGTCTTGCTTTCTAAAACATCCTATTTTCAGACCCCATTAGAATAGAAAACCGAACTGCATCATTGTTCCAGCTTCTTCAAGGAATATATTTGCAAACACATTATTCATATGGATATTAGGTTGACATTTTGTAACCATCATCAGCAGCAGAATATATACCACTGGGTAAAAAAAACAAAAGAGGGCGACCACGAAAACGAAAAAAAGTGTTACTAATACAATAAGTGTAGAATTAAATTGTTTTGCTTAGATATATATGTCTCGTTACTTAGTAATAATTGTGTTATTTACCTATCGATTTCCAATATTTTACTTAGAAGATCAAACTTATGTACTAAGATTTTAAATAAAAAAACTTAGCAAAAATCGAATTTTTTAACTTAGTTTTTATTTAAAATTACTTAGCATTTAAATGAAAGCCTTTTATTCATATTAAAACTAAAACTTTTGTGTTCGTATAACATAATATAAAAAACTTGAACAATAACAACATTTACCAAATATGTATACAATTTTATTCGAATGAATTATAAAAGTTTTGTGTAATCATTCTGAAGTATCTCAGAACTTGTTTGTCAGATCTATAGAAATTTATTTTCATATTACCGATGATTTGAGAAAACATAAAAAGCAACAAATTTTCATATTTGTCCATTGAGAGTGTTGTCATTGTATTCAAGCACTTTTTTCCGATAAATAAATACGGGACAGTAGACGAATAGACAGCAAGATAGAGAATTTTAAGCACTGTCAGAATACACTTTGGGCTGATCAAAAGTTTTGATTATAGTGTGAGAGAAGAAGAGGAAGAATCACTGTGGCCAGAACTTTTAGTAAATCATAAGTAACGGATGACGCAAAAAGAATTAGATTGTTTGTATTTTCGAATTTTCTCCTCTATTAATCTTATGATTAAAACACTTTTTTTTATCAAAAGATAGGGCTTGAAATTCTCTACAAAGTTATATATGACTAGGTCCAAAAGCTATTTTAGATATATTTGAAAAAAGATGAAAATTAACGACATATAAAAACCTATAAAAAATAAGGGATTGGGCATAATGAATGGCCACGTTTTGCATCTCATTTTTTTATCACATACTTCACCCTATTAGAAAAACAAAATATACTATAAGATGCAGCGTCAAAAGCTCTACAATTTATATTAGACCGCTTATTTTCTAGTCGCACTTTTTGTTTTTAAAACGGTCAAAATTTTGAGCGGTCAAATTTCGACCCTGCGAAAATAATGTAATTTTTCGCACAATGAATTCGTTTTTTTTTGTTACTACCTATTTTTTATAATATGTTATTTGTAAATTGTAGAGCTTTTCACGTTGCATCTTTTGGTATATTTTGTTTTTCTAATAGGACGAAGTAAGTAATAAAAAAATGATATGCAAAACGTGGTCATTCGTTATGCTCAACTCGTTATTTTTTACAGGTTTTTGTATATCGTTGCTGTTCATCTTTCTTCAACTATGTATGAAACAATTTTTTGGGTCTATAGTTATACATAGTTGTGTCGAGAATTTCAAGTGCTATCTTTTGATAAAAAAGTGTTTTAATTATAAGGTTGATAGAGAAGAAAATTCGAAAATACAAATAGTCTAATTCTTTTTGCGCCATCCGTTACTTATGATTTACTAAAAGTTCTGGCCACAGTGATTCTTCCTCTTCTTCTCTCACACTATAATCAAAACTTTTGATCAGCCCAAAG